AAAATGCCTTTAAAGAAAAAGTCATGGGCCAAATGATGAGAGGCGAAATGATGACGATGACGACGGTCGTCGAGGTGGCGAAGAAGCAAAAAGATCGGTGTTCAATATCATGATTAAGGAGCGATGTTGGCAATTTCTCTACTCACTCTCATTCGCACGCTCTCATACGAGCTGCTCTCAGGCGCATCATTTTTCCTTTTTTGATAAACCATTAGTTTACGTCAATGGTTGCGCGTGGATGAAGAATGTAAAACATTCGTAGCATGAACTTTAGTCATAAATATGTTCATAAATCAATGTATGTCCACTGCCATCTCCATAAATATATTAATCTTTGTGTGAGAGAACATTCGAGACCTGACTTCAATATCCAATCAAAATTCCAATACTTTTATCATCCTTTTCAATCGAGGCAGAAACTTTGACTGATTCTCTTCATGTGGTTGCTGTTGCTGATGTTTTCCGCTCTCTTTGGCACTACATGAAATGTAGAGCTACTGATCTGCTTTTTTTTCTTAATACTTTTTGTGTGATGAAACAAATTATGGTGAATTTGAATTTTATGCTCATATTTTTTATTTAACTTAAACCAAAGGCAGTATATTTCAAAAAAGAAATAAAATCAAGATCTTGTAATTCATTTTGCAAATAAATATATTACTTCAAAGTTACTTTGATGAAATACATTTCATGTAGTGCGCCAAAAAATAGTTTGTTGTGAAACAACAAAATAGATTAAGTAAATTAAAACTCAAGAACGCAGAGCGGAGCAAAGCGAAGCTCTGCGGTCTTGTTTTTTTCTCCGCATCGGTACAATTCTCCTGCCGTTTGCTCTGTTTTTGGTGGAATGAGATAAACGGTGTCGTTGAGAGCATGGCGAATATTCACATGGTTTCTTTTAACGAATTGGGAAATGTATGTGCTCGTTCGCTTGGCGAAATCAAAATTGAAATGAGAGACAAATTCGTGTTTCAATTGAAATCACTGATGCATTGATTGAATGACAGCCATTGCAAATGAACCTGAACGTAAATTGCTTCGAAGCACTCAATGAAATTAGTTTGTTTTAATGGGACCACTTTTTTTCGTCTCTCCCTCTGTTCCTTTGCCCATTAGTTCGATGCCCAAAAGCTTGATGACAACACATTTCGACTGGAATTCCAACCGCGTTTTCCCGTTCTCGTGCTAGTTGAGCCATGTGTTGTATGTGTGTGTGTGCCTTGTAACTATTTGCGGCATCTGATTCTTGTGCATACTTTGATTTTGTTTTTCAACCAAGCATCTAGATAAACAAGTGATTTGTATAAAGAAAATAAACTTCTTGACAATTTTTGCGACTCCTCCGTCCCATCGAGTTTGGCATGTATCTCGGCAGCATGTCGATACTATGTGTGTGTGTGTGTGTGTGTGTGTGTGGATGGTTGGTTACGGTGGTTTCCCCGTGTGCGCCACATAAACAGTTCTATGAAATTGCTCAAATTAAATTGACTGAAAGTGAGCGAAAAAGATTTCCGAGTAAAAAGTGGGACGCTGGAAAAGTTCCATGTCGCTTGATGTATGTGCTCCAACACCACCACCCGTCCTCTTTCGTCTATCTTTCTCATCTCGGTCGGGGATCATTCATTCGTTCGTTCGTTCATGGCATCTTTTGTTTTTCGCCATTAATTTCTTTATTTAGTGTGTCACGTTTCGAATCGGCGTCTTTTGATTGCTCCTCCGTACGGTAATAAAGATTGAGACAGAGATTTTGCCCGGTGCAGACGTGATGACATGTACACGTAGTCACATTGCTTGTAAGCGTGCGCGCGACCGCGCGCATACATGGCAATGCAAACGCATCAAGCAATGCAAATTCCAACCGAATTTGCGCTTTCTTTTTCATCCGCTTTTATTTGTGTGTTGCCGTCGCTATATTGGGATTCGGCCATAGGCCAAAGGCCGAGATGTGAATACAACGTCGAAGACGACGACGACGACGACGACGACGATGACAACAACAACAACAACAACAACAACAACAACAATAACAACAAAGATATCGACGCGAGTCGATCGTCGAATAGACGAGAAGAGCCAGTTGTTTTCGTAAACCAGAGTCTCGTAATCGTGTTTCTAAAGTAAATGTTTGTGTGCCAATCAAAGCGTATCACAAACAATTTCTGCATGTCGAACCGGCTTTTCAATGCGGCAACGAACAGTGAGAGAGTGTATTTACGAATCATGCCAAACCCAAAAGAATATAAATTATCGAAAGATATCAGATAAATTAAGAAGTTCACTGATTGCATTGTTTCCGTTTGTTGCCGTTTTTTTCCTTCTTCTCTCCACTCTGTTTGCTTTGAATCGAGTATTGTTTCCTCTACGATAACATGAATATAAACACCGAGCGATGTATTTTTTCTGCTTAAATTCGGCTTCAGTTTGTGTGTTTTTATTTCTTTCTTTGATTGTTTTCTTTTGTTGCTTCATTCACTGACAATCGAACCGAAAATTGAGCATCTTTGTGCCAATGTTTTGCATGAACTTGGACCTGAACTGAGCATACACACACACACACACACACACACACACACACACACACATACGCAAATATACGAAGAAACAAACAAAAAAATGTCAAAGTTTATCAAGAAAAAGAAAAATTGCTAATTCGACGAATGGCTGGAAAAGTTTCAAAGTGGCAACTTGATTGAATTCCAAGCATTGAATGCTTTCAATGGCATCGATTTATAAAAAGCAGCAAAGTAGCACGAAAATAGAACGCAGTGCCATCGCTGATTGGATGTTAAATTGCGACAAAATTAAATGTAGAAAAATACCATTTTGATTCCTTACTCAAATCATCTTTATTTTGCTGTCGAGAATTGTCGTGTGACGCTTGAGTTTCATTCACATACGCAGTTCCACTGGAAATGCGGGAAAAATACGCGTGCTTAGTTGTTGAGATATTTTCGACATAAATGGCCAAACTTCTTCTTCTTTTTCCTTTTTTTCGCCTTCGTAAATCGACTTTCTTCCATCAGTCGCGTGCTCATTTTCGCAACAGTCAACACACAGCTCGTATTTTCCGTGTCGCGCATTTATTCTTTTTGCATGCATTTCGATATCAATCCGGTTTGTTTTATCTACGTTTTGAACACACAATTTACATATTTTATGTTGAAATAATTTGATATGTTTTTCTCTTGCTTTCACTCTCCTTCGCATCACGGTCACTTTCGCTCGCATTTCGGCTCTACAATCTGTGCGGATCGGTGTTTTCATTTTATTTGCAAACATTTGCGGTTTGGTGTTTAACTGATCGACGTCCCATCTGTGCGATAGCCGTGCGTCAGTGTGATAAACTGTGGCAAAAAAAGCAGTTACACGAAGATTTGCACGAGATGTGGAAAGTGCTGAAGAAAAAAAAACTGGATTTTACACTCGCCCAGAAGAAGAGCGTATATACGATTCAGATTTGTAGTCGCACTTCTACTGATCTGTCTTTAACTACGGCCATTTGCGCGTTTTTAATCTTCTAAGTGAGTCATTTGACGATAGACACAACCACTCACTCGCACACAGACGCACAACAACAACAACAACAACAACAAAAAAAAACACTTGTGTGATGTACGTCCGAAATGATGCGCGAAAATGAAACGAAAACTCTTCTTTCGTGCAATTTATTCATGGGGAAAACAGGCGGCTATACGGTTTATTCTGTTTGTGTTTACACTACGGTCTTAATCTATATGTTGTAAAAGATGCTGATGACTGGTGGAAGATTCTGGATTTTTGCTGTTTATTGTTTATGGCTTGTTTTTTTTTCTTCGTCGTCGTGGTCGTTGTTTTTGTTGTTGCTCATCGTCGTTTTTTCATGTTGCCCACGAAGAGTTGGACGATTGATAATTTGCGCATTTTCTAATGAGAGATTATAATAAATTATTCAAACTTTTCGTTTGTATCTCGGTCGAAAGTAAACGAGGATGGATTCATTGGAAGAAGGGGAAAAACATGCGGCCAACACTAGGGCCAACATGGTGGCCTGTTTTCACTCTCTTTCTTTTTCGAAATAATATCGCGGCAGCTGGATGAAAAATGAACATTGCCATTGGGCATCATGTTTTATTCCAGTTTTCTAAATGCCACTAAATAATTTACACATTTGAATAGCAAACGAAAAATGTCATTTTCCGCGTGCAATTTTGACACGCTTTCGCGGGAAAATAAGTGAAAAGTAATAACACTTTATGATGCTAAACAGGCTCATGAAATGACAGTTTTGTATCTGATACGCATTTGTTTGGCATATTTCACTGCCATCAGATTCGTAACAAATGCGCCCGAGCGCGCGTGATAAGAATGCGTATTTAATTTCGAATTATATGATTCAGTCGAATTTTATCTTCTATTCTTTTGTTCGTCTGTTTTGTTCGGGTAATACGCACAAATCAAATCAAAATTACGGTATCAATTTCAATTCCATAGATCAATCATGCTTGAAAAAGACGAATTTAGGAAAAGTTCGACGGTGAAAAGGCATTCAATGGAAAGGAGAAGAAATGAAAAAAAAATTGGATGAATGAACACGGAGCACAGATTTCGTAGCCGTAGAAAAATATATTATTAATTCGGACTTATTGAATTTGGTTGGATTGAATAACATTGCTTATTGGGCTGTTCATATCAAATTTGTTCCTCTTTTCGATCGAAAAAAGGCTTTATTTAATCAGAAAAGAATGTTTTTGTTACAAGACAAAAAAAAAAACTACCAAAAAAAAGAGAAGAGAAAGAATGAAGTATCTGGAGCAAATGCAAATGTTCAAATTCGTACGAGGGTCAAGTGAATCAGTAAAATGATCTGTTTAATGGGTTTCATCAGTTTGTTTCCTATTCAATTAAAGCGGCTTTTGACGGGATATCAACATTTCTTCTTTTTTTTCATTACTCATTTCGCCATTTGTTGTTGTTTTTTGTCTCACCGGCTTTTCTTTCTTTCTTTCTTTTTTTCTATATAGAGTGTGGTGCTTTCGTTTTGGCTCCATCAGCTAATTTGTGCCAGAGCATTTCGTAAAGTGGCTGCCGAGAAAAAAACATCGAACCGTAAGTAACACACACACAGTCACAGTAGAATGATGATTTATTATTCGTTAGACGTAAATCATCTCTCGAAGCTCAAGTGCAGACGCTATACATTTCGTATTTCTTTTTCGCTCAAACTTTTTTCCCCATGTAATTTGTATTGAAAATGGTTTTTTTTTCTTCGTTCCTCGAATCGCACAATCGTACCGGTGCCGAAATAATGATTTAACATTTTCAAACCGAAAAAAGAAAAAGAGCACGAAATTCCAATTGAAATTCATTCGAGATACTCATTTGCATTGAAATCGCAAGACGCATTTTACCATAATAGAAAAAAAGATGTCGACCATTTTACCATGAACGAAGTGCTGCTGCTGCTATCGAATTGCACAAACAGAAACAGAAAACGTGAAAAATACACATCACATAACTATCGAATGAATGACATAAATCGTTTCAGCGATTGATGCGACGCATGGAATTTTACTTGTTCAACGTAAACGAAAGTATAAGTGAAGCGCACATACACACACACACACACCGAAAAATAGAATGAAGATGTTGTTCAATTGCTCTTTTGCCGCTGCTTCTGTTGTAATAACATTTTATGATTTATGCAAATTATCACATGTTCACGCTCGCATCTCACTGTGTGCGAACGTAAAGTCATTTTCTTTCATTTGCCGCGTCGTCTTCGTTGTTTTCGATGGTGCTTTTTTTTTCTTCACCTCTTCTCGTTTTTTTGTTTGTTTATTCGACCATAAGTTTGGAGAGGCAGTGAAAAAAGTGAGTTAGAGAGTATTACTCTCAGAGTAATGTGTCGAGCCTTTTGGTTTTTGGAATGCCGCATAAAAAGTGTATTTGTGTGTCACTGTTATGATTATTGTTTTTCGAGCATTCTTTTCACTCCGTTCATTTATGCTCACTCTGTATGAGTGGGTGAGTTAGCGAGTGAGCAGATTTGTGTGTTTTCGTGTTGGGTTGTGATGCATGCGAGCATAAGTGCGAAAGCGAGCATTGCGAACGACAGTGTATGGGAACAATAAATTTTATGTACTTGAAATACTCGTTTTCGGTATGTGAAAAATCTGTCTGCTGCACAGTATTCACAACACATAACATTCCATCTCTATCTGCTCCCTCTGTCATAAACTTCCATCAAATCTTGAGACGTAAATTACATTCACATCGCGCATATTCTTTTTTTTTTTTTTGCTGTTCCTTCATCGTCGTCAGTATTGTCGTTTTGGCACAGAGATAGAGAGACAGGGCGAGGGAGATGTCTTTTTCATGCAACACCATTTTGAATCGGTAGTCAAGTGTGCGTGCGAAACTTGTGTCCGCGTTTCGCGTAAATTATAATGCATATGGATGGATGGATAATAAATGGGAGACCGCTGGAAGCGTCCCGCACAAAAACGGAAAAACCGACGACGAGAGCGACTTTTCTTTTGTTTTTATGGTGTTTATTGCGTATTTTGGTTCGGTGGCTAGAAAGATGGATTTGTGTGCTATTTTGTGTGCATATAGTTAGTGCGTGTGTGAGAGTGAGCGCGTTTCTTTTGTTTTTTTAGCCGGTCGTTCTTTCTTCCTCTCGCACTCTCGCATTCTTTCTCTTTCTATGCATTTGGTTGACAACGGCTTTACGACCATTCCTAATGCTCAATTCTCACCAAATTCTCTCTTTCTCTCCGTCCCATTTGCTTTCCCTTCTAGTAAGAGACGAGATAGATTGAACCCGAAACGCGCGCGCTGGAGCAAGTTGAGTGTTTCGGGAGGGTTCTTTTATGCGTCTGCTCTCCATAATAATAAATATATTTTCACTTCAATATAGCGAAAGCTCATCGAGCCGCATATGCTACGCATTCTAAATACCATACCACTGCACGATTTCCATTTTACATCTTCATTTTTCTTATTTTGTTTGTTTGTTTATTTGTTGTTTGCTCGGTCGTTCGGGTTGTGATGTGCTGTTGTTGCTTGTATATTTTTTTTGCTGGTTGGTTGCTTGCTTTCATTCGTTTTCGTTCATCCCTTGGTTCGTCGCTTATATTCTTCGTTTGCCTGTCATTGTCACATTCCATTCGAAATACACGCTCCAGTTCCAATTTTTATTCACATCTTTCGTGCTATTTCTATGTTGTGTGCAAGACACACGTAGTTTTTTTTTCTCTTCATCTCTGTTGTTCATCGTTGCGCATTCCCTTCATGTGTGAAATCCAATGAGAGAGCCTAACCAGAGAGCGGAAGAGAGAGAGAGAGAGAGAAAAGCCAAATGGAAAAAAAACGGCATCAGCAGCAACAACACTCTTAGCGCGACCCAAACGATGCTACTTTTTTCCGTCATGTAGTTTGGCTCTTGCGAGAAATCGAAAGTAAAATATGGCAAACAGCACGATTGCTCGTTAGTATGTGAGAAAAAGGCAAATGGGATATATTGAAATCAAGAGTCAGAAATTGTCACACACAACTTTTTAATACAAAACGCTCGCACCGCACTCACATACACACACACACCAAATAATGGCTCAATGTGCTCTTGCTCTCTATCTTCTTTTTTTTCTTTCTCTTGCTTTCGTCGGCCCACCGATGAATGAATGTAACAATAACAAAAACTCAGCATTGCTCTTACATTCAAACACTCAATCTTTCGCTGTCTCCCTCTCTAACTCACACATGGTTTTGATATGAGCCCGACTTCTTTTTTTCTCACCAAGGACAATCGTAAACAAGAGCTAAAAAGTACGACGAAAAATGGCACGCAAAGAGTGTCAAACAAATAAACCAAACGAACGAATGAATGGAAAAAAAGAAAAAAAGAAAACAGCACGTAACGAATTATTTCAACAGCAGCTGAAAACGAAGAAAAATGGGCAATAGACGAAAATGGAACGAACACCGAGACAACCGCACACACAAAAGGAATCAACACACAGAGAGGCAGAGAGAGGGACAATATGAGAGTGTGAAAAAGCAAGAGAAAATGCGATCTTCCTAAATTCGAACCTTTTTTATTCGTCGGCATACATCTAAAGCCACCTCATTTGCTCAGCTGTCGAAGCTGTTAATACGTAAATTTTGACAGAAAAAATATACGCATTTTTTTCGTTTTGCAATGAGCCAAAGTGTTGTACGAAAGAAAAAATCAGACTCTTTCGCAAAGAATTTGCTTTTGCTTTCAATTCTATGTCATTTTACTTTTGTGTTGTGTTGCTATTCCATTCCACACACACACACACACAGAGAGAGAGAGAGAGAGAGAGAGAGAGAGAGAGAGAGATACAACAACACTTCTCCGTCTCCTGTTGACTTTTTACTTTTTGCGCTCAATCATCGCACAATGTTTGTAAAGAATGCTTGAAGAGAAAGAGAAAAAAAAGTAATGCACATCGAACACATTCGACACAATCCCTGTCGTTTTTCTCTCTCTCTCTCTGATGGGGATCACTTTAAACTCGCAAATAGCAAATCTCAAGCAAAGCACAACAAATAAAGAATTCCGTTTTTTTTTTCTGTTGTTGTCGAAAAATTCACAATCGTATCGTGAATAATAGATAATCCTGAAATATTCGTAAATATACCTACCTACCTTTTGCACACTTGCCGAATGTTATCAATGCCAATGCGACCAAATTCCAATATTTAAGAATTGTACAACTCTCTCTCTCTCTCTCTCTCTCTCTCTCTAGCTCGCTCACGCAGTCTGAGTTGTCGCCATCGCCATTGCCATCGTCGTCGTCGTTGTAATACGAACAATGGAATTACGAGAGATGTGTGTGAATTTTTTTATCATGGCCAAACAACTCAAGTGCCAAGGATAATTGGCTTTAGTGAAGCATATCACTTGTCGAAAAAGTTGGAAATTCAAACAAATTTTGCAAAAGTATTTTTAAACATATTGCCACTTTTCGCACATATATACTTGCATTTACTAACGCCGCACTGAGCTTTTAATATCCGGCATTCTTACAAGTAAATCGTCTTCTCGTTAAAATACCGCCAATCGGTTTAAATTGCATAAAATGAGCGATTCATTACAAAATGACAAAGAAACGAGCGAGCGAGAAAGAGAGAGAGAGAGAGAGAGAGAGAGAGAGAGAGAGACAGATAGAGAAAAAGAGTATCAAACTTTTGCTATTATTAATTACTGGCGCTTTCAATGCGATTCGCTAGACTTGGTTAATTTATTAGGTAGAAGCGCTGTGTTACCCACTCTCGGCGAACATACGATTTATTTGCCACACTTTTTTCTGCTCCTTCTACAATTTATTCAAATAGTTGTGCCGCAATCACAAGCTAACAATGGTTCATATTGAAATTCATCTATGAGAGGCATTGCGTGTCTTTCTTTCTACCTCTCTCTCCTTCGGTAACATTATTTGAATGCGAACATTGAACGGTGTGTCGCTTCGAGAGTCAATTCAGAAAAAAAGCTGGCGTTTTTTTCGCGTTCATCGTTCTGCCGTACTTTTTGCATATATAGTAGCGCTAGTTCGTGAGCATATTTACACATTTTGTGACGAATCAGTGGAAATGGTATGGCGTGTCGAACACCTGCGGGCTCGTTCAGTTTTTTCAACGATATGAGAGCTAAACGAGAGAGAGAGAGAGAGACAGAGCGAAAAAAAGCGAAAACGAATTCGTTTGTTTGCTATCCGCTATTTATCTGATTCGCAGATACCGTTTGTCTCCTTTCGTACGGCTTTTAAATATCGATTTTTATCGCATCGGTGTGATTGCGCAATCGGGACCCGTTCAGCGTTATTTTCTTTCATTCATTCTTCAGTCGACTGTTGCTGTTGTTGCTGCTGGCTTCCTTTAATTTTTCTGCACAAGTTGCCGTTGTCGTCGTTGGTCGGTGTATGTTGATTTGGTTGTTTTTCCCTTGATCGCGTCGCTTGATTCAATAGGTTAGCTCGATTTGTCCTTTGCCATCTGATTATACATTTTTGTGTTCTCTCACACTCACTCATTTGCCCACCCGTTCGCTGCTATCAAACGACCGTCGATCTATTCTCTTA